TTACACAAAACAATGCAAGCTTCTGTACGAATTATCTCTGCTGACACTAAGGCACCGCCGTCTTTATATTCTGGGAGGGGACTTGGGTTGTTTTTTAACTAATAATTTGTTCTAGGAAAAATGGAAGATATTAATTTGACCTCAGTCTGTCCCAAAAAACAATTGTCTGTGGAGCGTGCTGGGTTTCTTGGAGATACTCTAATGTGAAAAACTGTCATTGTTCGGCTCTTCATTTCACAAAAATACATTGTATGGTTTAAAGCATAATCCATAATAAAAAAAAAGGTAGGAATAAAGTGGTCACGGATTCCAGGGATATGACTCTACTAAAAGCAGCTGATGTGAGTATAAATATGTTTTTTATGTCTATGCCTAGGTCCTTTAGGTCTGGTTAGACATCACCGCCATTCAGATGAAACACACAGTTGATGCTTTCTGACCAGTCTTGTCATTGACGCCTTAGTAGGCGTAGGTCTTCATGGTGTTATTGTTGTTGTTAAACGCCGCACTCCAATATTCCAGCTATATGACGGCGGTATGTCAATAATCGAGTCTGGACAAGACAATCCAGTGATTGACATCATGAGCATCGATCCACGCAATTAGGATACGATGACATGCATCAACCAAGTCAGGGAGCCTGAACACCCGATCCCGTTAGTCGCCTTTTACAAGCGTAGTCGCCTTTTACGACAAGCGTGGGTTGCTGAAGGCTTATTCTATCTGGTCTTTGTACCCCTCTTTGCTTGCTCCGTAGGGTGCCAGTCTTTGTCACAACGTAGAAATCTTTAGCCGATTGTTTTAGTATCTTAAATGTCAAGTCACATGTTCGGAATAAATATTGTATATGCGAGTCCTTTGCAGTGTATGAAATCCCTGCAAATCTTCAACCAGACCACAAGGCAGGAAACTCCTGAAACTCGCTACTTGAAATAGAATCACAAAATATGTCGACTATTAATTATTAAAGAGGATAGCTGGTCATAACGTGAAAACAATACAATTGAACGATAAGGAATATTACTTACAGTAATGATAAAAAAGCAAAGTGCGCTTTATAAGAACTATCCCTCTTGCTAGCAATAAACATCATTGAGTTGATCAAGATCATGACACAGATTTGTTTTGTTTGCAAACTAAAAATGCTCATTTTTTAACATTATCCGGGGACCGGTAATTTAAAATAGGGAAGTGTGTGTGTGTGTGTGTGTGTGGGGGGGGGGGGGGGGTGTAGGGGTGTGTGTGTAGGGGCGTGTGTGTGTGTGTGTGTGTGTGTGTCTCATGGAAACACATTACGTGTGTCTGTCTGTGTGTTTAGGGGGGGGGGGCGTGGTCAGCAAGATATGATACAGTCCTAAGACCAATCTTAACCAAAATACACGGAAAGAATGAGTAGTCATATCTTAAGATGATGAGTGAGCAATAATTACAAAAGAATCAGAAAATAATAAACACTTATTTATATGAACACTCTACTGCTTACAACACTTTTACAACACCTTACGTCAACCCGGCCACACACAGAGCCGCCTAAATTGTGCATCGCGATAATCTGTACATTTATATTGTTAATAATGAATCACTGCCAACGCCAAATTGACGCTGGGGAGTCGTCATACATAATTATATGTATTAAGTCTCAGTGTGAATAGAGCCTTTATTCAAAGGCCAATAGCTAGAAGGCATCGTCCAAGAGTGTGACTGGGGGTACCAGGGCCCCGTTCCTCAAAGCTATATCAGCACTAAGGTGATCGTAAGTCCCATACTTTAACAAAGGCTTACGATCAGCTTAGCGCTAAGATCGCTTTGAGGAACGGGGCCCAGGGCCGTGTGTCCCGAGTCCCGTGAGACGATTGCCACTCCGGTCGTGTCTCTTTGTAAATGACTTTCACACATGGTAATTAAGTGATATAACAGCAGTACGATACCATTGGTTATCGTGGGAATGTAAAATGTACCATTCTGATTGGACAAAATATGCAATTAATGACATAACATTTAATTGGCATGAACATGAATTCATTGATTTGATGTAGAAGTTATACTTATTTAAGGCAGGTGGTATGTCGCTTGGGGCGTCATTCAGCAATCTTTAATGACAAATGACGGATACCGACACAATGGACGGAAGGGTCAAGCTGTGACACTTAAGTCTGTAATAGTACTTTTAGTGTCTGGCGTCAGTGCTAGACGATAAGGTTTCGCTTTGATGATTATAATGTTAGCTTTTATTTCTTTATGCAAGTCTGTGGGTCTACTTTACACTTATATTTTTAACAAGAATTTGTTACGAAATAGGTACAGTAAACTACGGTTATAACGAACACGCTTATAACAAACTGACCGATATAACGAACTTATTTTTTATTCCCGGCCATGTGTTGTATGTATGCTGTATATATGCTTATAACGAACTACTGTTATAACGAACTAAAATTAGTGGTCCCTTTGAATTCGTTGTAACCGTAGTTTAGCCTACTGTAATATAACTCTGTGGTCTATTGACACTTGTCAAGTCCATTTGGATTCAGAGAAATGTTGTACTTGATTGGGATGATGTTCTAACAATCACAAGTGCACGTTATTGCTCCCTCTAGTACACGTAAATAAGTTACTCTAATATATAAATATCATTAGCACTATCAAATAGTGATGGTACCAGGTATTCGCGAAAAGTTGAGCGCACGTGCCCAAAGGTGGCACCCGTCACAAATACTTTAAAAGGCAAGGCAATTGTTCACCTGAAAAAAAACACGGGAACATAATTATTGTACAAGTCAAAAATAGGGAATTGCGACGGACATCATTTGTGTCACTGATGCGTTAAATTTGGAAATTTCCTCCACGCGGCGACGAAGTCGAGTGTGCAAATATTAACACATGTGTTAATATATCCCTGCCAATACGATACTATCATGTATTCAACAGAGGTATTTATCAACTAGATTGTTTACAGTGTGTATCACACATACGTAACCCGATCGAACAATGTTAGGTTTGTATTGTTTTGTGCTCCATCCATGCCCTTTGCACCTCTGGACCGCCTCCGTGGTCTAGTGGTAGAGCGTCCGCCCGGAGAGCGGGAGGTCCGGGGTTCGATCCCCGGCCGCGTCATACCAAAAGACGTTTAAAGTTGGTACTTGTTGTTACCCTGTCTGGCGCTCGGCATTAAGGGGCTAAAACAAGGACTGGTCGGCTCGGAGTCAGTATACTGTGTCTGAGTGGTGTATTCATGTTAAACTGCGGCATGGTATCTCAGTGGGCTAGCACTATAAATCGGCATCAGTCCGGACTAGTACAAGCAGCCACGCAAACACACACACGTACATGCACGTCGCTATATAAGTGCAATAATCTTGGACGCGACGTTAAACCCCATTTCACTTCACCTCACCTTGGCACCTCTGTTGAACTATGGTTAGCTCCGCAACAGAACTATCGCTGCGAGGAGCTTAGGCGCCCCGACTTAACAGACAAATCGGACCAGTACCAAAACTGACAAAGTGATATGGTCAAAACGGTAAAACTAAATTTATCTCGCGTGGCACAGACCGAAAAAACCAATATGTGTAAACGGACATTTTTATCAATAATTATTTTTATAGCATCATAAATTAAGAGAATTCTGAAGGGCTTATGTTTAGTCGTCTTTAATAATAAAACATGAATTTTAACCAAATTTAACCTCATTGATCTGCGAGAGCAAAGTGTGAACATATATGGTCATTTTATTACATGAACAATGGTAACATACTTATGTCAATTCAAAGGAGGACATTATAGCTTATGAAACCACCTCATCAATTCAATGGATGTTTTTAGGGGCTAAAATATCACAATGGAAAAGAGAGGATAACTCAGTGAGTCGGTGAGTGGGTTGGGTTTGACGCCGCTTTGAACAGTGTGCCAGTTATATCACGTCGTGTCAGACTGATGTGGGAGGAAAGCCCGAAGTGATGCAGATAGCCCAAGTGGGCTTACATCATTTATGTAAGAGGCGAAGATAATCGGTAAGTCGTGGTCACTAGTGGCTTGTTCTCTTCGTAATTAATGGACATTATACTCGCTGACTTGGATGATGCAAGTCATCGTATCACAATTGCGTGGATTGATGCTCATGATGTCAGTCACTGGATTGCCTGGCCCACACTCGATTATTTACAGACCACAGTTATATGCTGAAATATTGCTGAGTGCACAACATACAAACAAACAAAAACAAACAAACTGACATTTTTGAAAATCATATCATATCTCACACGACGCCAACAGCCAATGATTATTCATGGACTGAGATCAGATAAAAGCGAACTAAAATTTGGAGTGCCACAGGGGTCTGTTCTTGACCCAATACTGCTCACTATATACACCCAATATCCCACCAGTGCTGATCCAGCATTTTTAAAAGGGGGAGGTCCAAAATATTAAAATCCTCTCTCAGATAATTATACTGCCTACAGTATACTACATTTGGTTTTCAAAAGGCTGGACCTCTGGATCCTCAAATGTACCAGTTGGAAGAAGTGCAACATCTCATGATATCAGTTTTCATCCCAATTCACTCTAGAATGATCTCATCCTAGACCCAAGTCACTCTAGAGTGATCTCATCCTAGACCCAATTCACTCTAACATGATCTCATCCTAGACCCAAGCCACTCTAGAGTGATCTCATCCTAGACCCAAGTCACTGAAGAGTGATCTCATCCTAGACCCAAGTGATGTCATTGGTTACCATGACGTCACAATCAAATGACATCACTAATGGCTCTGCTACTGAAGCTGTTAGCTGTACTTTTTACACTTAAGACACTGCTTAATTACTGTCTACACACTGATTGGAAGAATGATGTTGGATGATAAATAAAATCTCACCCGAGTCTCTTTTGATATCAAATATATCAACACTCGTTGATTAAAGTAGAAAAACTCCTCGGCAAGCCTCGGAGTTTCGCCATTTTTATCAACGAGTGTTGATATATTTGATATCAAAAGACACGAGGGTGAGATTCTCTATATAGATAAAAACATCTATAATTATTCACTCCTCCGCTTTAAAGACTGCTTATTTTGACAAGAAAATTGGTCCGTTTTCACCTATAATCCTTATGTCCGTTTTGACCAAAATACCCCGGTCCGTTTTAACCTATTATCAACGGGTCCGTTTTGACCTACAGCGCTTAGACGTCAGTCGCACTCCATCGACCAGTGTGACCACAAAGACGGAAGAAGATGCATGCAGTATTGTCGTTGGCCTTTGTTATGATTAATGAAATGAGGCTTTGTTGACTAAAATGTCGACTGGACATTTAAAAGCCTGTGGGGCCGTTCAGAGATCAAGTGCTATTTGTAACTGTGGAGGATTTTATAAGGACAGAAAACGCCTTGTGCTTTTCACAATATTCACTGAAACCAGCTGATGTGAGTATAAATAGTGTCTTTGTTTATGTTTGGAGCTAGATCCATCAAGTGCGGGAGGGATAGCACCTCGGGGTATGATAACCATGAAACTGTTGAACAGTTGGTGTGGTGTATCACCCGCTTGGTGGGACGGGACCATATGGTCCCTTACTTTTCGCATCTTCTTAGTGCCACGGGACCATATATGGTTAGTTAGTGTTAGTGTTGAGCTCGTGTAGGCCTTTAATGCAGTCAACCCGTGAAGATTCTGGGGTAGAATAGGTCTTCAGCAACCCATGCTTGCCGAAAAAGGTGACTATGCTTGTCGTAAAAGGCGACTAACGGGATCGGGTGGTCAGGCTCGCTGACTTGGTTGATGCATGTCATCGATCCCAGTTGCGTGGATCGATGATCATGATATTAATCACTGGATTGTCTGGTCCAGACTCGATTATTTACAGACCGCCGTCATATAGCTGGAATATTGCTGAGTGCGGCGTTAAACAACAACCAACCAACGCAAAGAGCAAAGACACTGTGTTGGGTGGCGTCTGTCTGGACTTACAGGTGTGATCAGTGATGACATGAGTGAGTAGAACGCTTGTCTTGACCCCAGCAGTGACAATTCACATGATGTAATTATTGTGTGAATGACATTGTTTATATACTTCTAACAAGTGTTGCTCAATAAACAGTGATGTGGAATACATAGTTGTTTGTTTTCAGCGTATGTCTAAGTTGGTATTTCTGCTATCCAAAATATCTTATTGTTGATATAAATGCGATGTTTAATAATGCGAGCAAAGACCACTCGCATTTTTTGCATTTAATTTACGCTCGCGTTAATTTCAAGATTTACAGTATATATGTTGTTGTGTGTTTGTTGTTGATTAGCATGAGCATCGCAATTGGGATATGATGACATGTATCAACCAAGTCAGCAAGCCTGACCGCCCGATCCTGCAGTTGCCTCTAAGACAAGCATGGGTTGTTGAAGACCTATTCTAATCCCGATTTTCGTGTGTGATTTACATATTCATTTGTCCAGTGTGTCAGCAACAGGGGTCACGCTAAGAATTTTCTGACATGGGCCCTTTATGTGAAAATTTAAATATTCCAGAGGTACGCACATATACACAATGTTAAAATGCCCTATTGTATTTGAAAATATATTTTTCAAATTTAGGGGCTAAAATTAAAAGCACAAGGCCCAACCTAGAAAAATCCCTGCAGTAATATCACTATCAGAATTTTAGTCCTACTTCATGGGCCTGTGTTCGATATATATGATAAAAGTGATTCAAGGATAATAATCTTCTTTATCATGTTATGTCATTCTCAGCATTCGCTCGTCATGACTAAGATCCAGGTTCGATTCCCGACATGGGTACAATGTGTGAAGCCCATTTCTGGTGTTCCCCGCCGTGATATTGCTGGAATAGTGCTGAAAGCGTCGTAAAACCATACGCACTCACTCACTAACATAAGCCTCACACATTGCAAGACAGCTAAGCCTATCTAATCATTACTTAGGTAGTTACTGCATATTTACCAGATGGCGATACAAGTTTTGGGGATTGTTTATCACAGTGTTTGAAACAATTTTAAACCCAACAAGACAGTCGGGCAGGTGACCCATAAGTGTTGCCTGCCAATCTACAAAGTTACCTGCCCTCATTCAGACATTATAAATATTGAAAAATCACAAAAAAACAAAGCGACAAATCACGTCTTGATTCAGTTGAAATAATGCAAACAATTACTTGAGAATCTACAAGGAGTTATAACAAAACTGAATGCATATGTAGTCTTAAAATGGCAGTTATTTCGGACACTTGTTTATCATGTCAATAACACCATCCATTATGATAAATAATAATATGTAGTTTGAGCAAACTGAGTCTTTGTGTACCTAGCTATAGGATTATCTTGAGATTAATACATAAAGGGCTGTATGATAAGATATGCATTTGCAGACAAAGAATATAAGCTGACTGGAGGCAAACTCATTTGGTGGGACTGCCAATTAACTTGAGGCTAGTCTCCCTTTAACAAAGGATAGATATGGAAGCTCTGAGGCACCACCTCTCACCATGCTCACTGTGAAGAGTCATGTAGGCCTATAACCAGAGTATTTTGGAATATGATTTAAGCACAAATGTGACCGAAATTCTATGAATTTCTTGGTTAAGATATGAAATAACAAAGGGTAACTGTATTTTGATGAGGTGAACACTTGTGAGATTAAAACTAATGATTAATCATTTAAGGATTGACTGTGTATTTTTTTCTGTTCATTGAGGTATGAATCGAAAAACCGATATGCAAACTGTATTTGCGTGACAATGGTGCCTAGTGTTGGACTCCAGAGGGCACCGTTAGTTTCTTCTGGCGCCTCCCAGTCCAGGATCGTATTGATTTTCTTTGTATTTACAATTGACCAATGAATATGGAAGCTTTGTCATGAAGGAAGATTTTGGTAACCATGGTAACTCTCATTGATTCTAGAAATTTGGGGCGGGGAAATAAGTTATTTGTCATAATGATATGGGCCTACAAGGATCTGGACACTCTGCTGACCAGGAAGGTTCTCTCCTTGTTTTGGGTGTTGGGATCAGGGAAAGTTGATAAGAAGTACTACCAGACTTTTCAACCCATCATCTAGATACGCATGTTTCGTTGAAATGTCAGGCAACAGAAACACATCTGAGGACCTAGAGGGCGTAAGTCAACAAATGGGCTTGATCAACAAAATCTGACTTATGATTTGAACAATCTACGTCATCCCCGTAACCAAGTTTAAGTATGGTGGAGATATGGGGTATACCGTATTTGACGTAATAAGCGCCCCGCTCTAGTAAGCGCCCACGGCGATATTTGCTAATATATTGGCTAGTGAACTATCCCAATGAGCACCCCTTCCGATTGATCAATGTACACAGGACTTATTTATTCGCGTATAATACGCACTCGTGTGTTATATGCACCTTTAATTATGGGCAATTAAATTCTTGAAAAATATATCTGTCGTACATAAACACTTCAGGCTGTCAGCATAAACCACGAAATTTATCTTTCAACTCTGTTTTTTTTCACCAAAATAATATTCTAACAACAATATTCTAACCCCCTATTTCTAATTTTGAGAGCGCCCTGGGCGCTTATTATGTCGAATACGGTATATAATATTTCTGATGAATGTTTATGAATAGCTGGAATCAGTAGGGGATACTCTATGACTATCAGGAACTTCATCGTGTTCATGTTTGATTTAGGGATGGTTCTTTGGATTCATCATTTTAACTATCTACATGGGTATTCTGTCAAGGAGGCTGGCACTTGTGGATAATCATCTTGAGAAAACATCATTGCAAGTTTTAAGCAATTGCTTGGCAGAGAATCTGGAATGCTTTTGAGATGGCTTCCAGCAAAAAGGGAACATGGTAATTGTTGAGACAAAGAGACAAAGAAAATTATGATGATAGTATTTTGTTAGTTGTCAGAGAACGGAGCCGGGGTAGGAGTCTCCCCACTGACCAGAGAGGTTTGCTCTCTGTATTTTTGGAGTTGGACTACTACACCATAGAAGTTAAGAGCTGATATGAACTATTATTTGGCTCTTCAGGGGGGCACGGGTGGCCCAGTCGTCTAAGGCGTCGTGATTCGCTGTGCAGAGTTGCGTCCCTTGGGGCATGCCAGAAACTGATGATTGTGGGTTCGAATCCTGGTTCGCCCCGATTATGTTTCTAGGTTTGTCAGCACAATACCCGTGCTCGTGGGTTTCAGCAAATTGGTAAACGTCTGAGACCTGCATCACTTCGGGCTTTCCTCCCACATTAAGCTGACAGGCCGCGATATAACTGAAATAATGTTAAAATTGGCGTTAAACCCCAACTCACTCACTTGGCTCTTCAGTGTATTATAACCAGGGTATTTTAGAAAAAGGGTTTTTAATGTTTACTTAAAATGTAGTTTACTAAATCCAGCTTTAGGTTAAAATATAGATGGATATGAGAGAAGTGACTGTACAGGGTGAGGGCATCACCCCCAGGGCAGATGATTATTGATTTTGCTTCTCTTAGTGATCATGGTGATAGAGATAACTTTTCATTAGCACAATGTTATTAGTAGAATCCGGGCTTGCAATATCAGTGTCAGAGGGGAAATGATTGGATGGAACAAAATTGTTTGTCTTGATGTGATCAAATATTTGTGGGTACTACTGCTTAATTGGAATGTCTGACTAACATGATTAAGTATCTTTATGGTGCCTTCCAGTCTGACAGAGTATTGGGTTTTTGTCATAAAGTGGTTGAATTATGAGTATGTTCGGTTGACCAATAACATCATTGAGTGGGTTAATTGGGAAGAGATGGAATGGAAATTGGGGTTCGTAAGGAGGTGAGCTATGGGACTCATTTCACATGATGTCAAAACATAATTTCGGTGGGAGGAGCTAAAATTATCATCGGTAGTATTTTGTTAGTTGTCCGAGAGTGGTGCGGGGATTCGGGAGCGCACGGCTGAACAGAGAGGTTTTCTCTGTAGATTGGAATTCCGGGTCAGAAAAGAAGTAGAGTTAAACGTTGATCAGAAAAGCTATCAGGCTCTTCAACGCATCATCTACGCATGTGTTGTACTTAAGTAATACAGGCAACAAGAACTTATCTGAGGACCTTGTGTGTATATTTACAACTACCATCATCAATAAATGGACTTGAGCAAACCAGCTGACTTGTGATTTTGAGAGCTACATCATCCCCAGAACCAAGGAGTGGTTGATAAGTACAAGTGACCAAAGGTAGAAAGGTAAAGTACCCGACACCTAAGGTTACCATGGTTACAGTATAATTTAGATATGTGTTCTGGCAGCTCCCAGTCCAATACCGTATTGATTCTTTGAATATGGGAGCTTTGTCATGAAGGAAGATTGTGGTAACCATGGTAACGCGGGTCAGGCTTGCTGACTTTGTTGATGCATGTCATCGTATCCCAATTGTGAAGATCAATGTTCATGATGT